AAGCATCCACAACATGAATGAAGGAGGATATGGCACAAAAATAAACCAGAAACACTGCATCAAGCCAAGAATAATATATGCAGAGAGGAAGTATGAAGACATCAAATCAGAAAAGCATGTCAACTCTCAACATAAAAGCAGCATAAGTGCAAGCAGAAAATAGTAAAGCAAAATTAGATCAAAACCCCTGCACTCGGCATGAAAGGGAACAGTATGGATTAAGCAAAACCAACCCTAACACATGCACAAGTGAAATGATGCACCCTAGAAATGATGCAAACAAACTGAGCAGAAAATAAATAATAAGAAAAAAACAAAGAATACAATAAATAAAAAATAAAATAAAATCCTGAAGTTCACAAAACAACCCCGAAGCAACACACAAATGGAGAGGGGAACAAGGAAAACGAAATCGACAAGAAGGGAAGAATCTTACCAGAAAAACAAAGAATGAAGGTTGGGGATTGCAGAAAGGAAACACTAAATCCAGTGATAGCCAAGGGACGGCAGCAAGGCAGAGAAATCGCCCTAGGAAAGGGGCAATCAAAGAAAAATGGGAAAAAAATAGGACTCAAAGGGACGAAGCAAGGCAGTTTATAACCAGACATGCGCTGGAGCTAGACACTTATGCGCATCGGATCGCTCCAACCAAGACACTAGTCGCTTGAGCCAGAAAAAAAAAAAAAAAAAAAAAAAAAGCCCTTAGAAATCTTGCATCACCTACAAAAGTACTAGATATGTAATGTTTGCTGCGAGCGCAAAAAACCTTGCTCGATCGACGATGGAAAAACACAACCTGAAAAGCACCCTTTTATCGATTGAAAACACTCACACAGTCAAGTGGGACCTAAACCAGGCGGGGATTAGCACAATAGCAAGAATTTGACGCTAAGAATGGAGATAATCTACATACCAATGAAGCCTACAATCTCGCAAGTTGACAATATCAAAGAAACAATATCAATGATAGAACAAGTAAACAAAGATCAAATGATCAATGGAACATAGAAGCACAACTCAAGACAAACATCGAGACTCACATAATGAATGTGTGTGGTGTGCAATCCTTGAGAGGACCAACAGTGCTAGAGTTAATCTAGTAATGATCGAAGGCTGGACCTTCCAACAGAGTATCCTAAAACATCACTGAAAAAGTCAAACCACTAGAAAAAAGGGATATTTAAATTGAGTAAAAGCAGAGGCTCCCCTCAATCAATGAGTCCTCCTTTTTTTTTTTTTTTTTTGCTTTTTTGACTTTTTCTTTCTTATGAAGACTCACTGGTGGCCTTCACAACTCAAGAGTATGAAACCGAACTAGAGAAGCATGGAAACAATAAGGATGGCCTGGTTGGGCTTCTGAGGTAGCCCTTTTCCTAATGCCTAGATTTTAAAGGAAGGGGGAGAAACCATGGAAGTAAACAAATGGTGGATGGTTTAAGAGCTCACATCACCCAATGATATGCCAGTATAGGTCAATTCCTCTACAATGTATAAGAGACAATGTTAGAAAGTCCATAGAGAGAATTGATCACTTATGCAGAAACCACTGCAACAATTTATCTCAGAATGTGTACAGAATGAGAATCATGAATTCAATGAAGCATGAAGATTCAGAATGAGCTATGACACAATAAATGAAAATCTGCAAGTAGCATGAGAGGGTGTTGTAGCTCGCTTTTTCGCGCCCCATTTCGGAAAACTTTGAAAAAAAAAGGCTACAATTCCGAACTCTGTGGTTTTTGAATCTAACCACTAGTGCAATGTCCAAACTGTAATCACCAAAGAGTCCAAATCTGGCCAAATCATTTCGAAAATTGATTTTGAAATCAAATAAGTATTCAAATTGGACTGCTTTGCCAGATACAGATTCGCCACCTAAATATTTTAATTTTGGAAAAATTTAGGAAACCCCATGATTCCATGCAAAGGCCACTTCTATCTATCACCAAAGTTGCCTCGACTCGGGAACTTAGGTAACAAGAGGGGAAGGTCATGAATTGAGCACTTCCGCTCGCTCGATCAAAGATCGGCCTCTACTAATCAGGATATATTTTACGAACATTAATGATTCTTATTCCAGTTATTAAAACTAGCATTACTAATGTGATGTGCACAATCAAGTATAGACTAGTTTGCTCAATTTGAACAAATCAGCTCCATGTTTGTTTGCGAAAATGTAAGTTTGAATTTCAACCTCTATGTGTCTCTTCCAACCCCGTCTTCACCTCGGAATTGTCTTGACGATGAGCCACTCCGAAATCCACCAAAGCTTCAGGCTCAAATTCTTCAGAATCCACCGAAGAACAACTCTCTCTTTTGTGTAGAACAAACAAAAAATCCTTTGATGTATACTCTTTAAACCATGAGTTGAATACTCAATCAAAACATCAAAGAAAACTAGCAAAAATATCCCCAGATATAAACCTTAGAATCCAAAAAGAAGATCTGGAGAAGTTTTTCAAGTTTTGGGAGAAAACCAACTACTTATAGAAATCCAAAGTAATCCTAGTTTTGGAAGAAAACCAATTCCTTATAGAAATCCAAGAATCTGTGTTCGCGCGGTCCGCTCGAGCGTGGTAATTCCCGCTTGAGCAGAAGCTTCAAAATTGTGTGATTCATATAGGCTTCACGCTTGAGTGGAAGTTTCCACACTCGAGCGTCGAATCACACCATCCAGTACTTTTTCAGGCGAAGCAGAGATGCTGTGAGCTTGCAATCCCCGCTCGAGCGGGACGACCAAAATTGGAAAATCTAGAAAACTAGATCCTGTTACAAACTCGGTTTTGATCCATGGAAATTGACAAAGGCATGATTCGGGTTGGATTCACATGTAATAAATTCATAGCCTCACTGAAATAAAAGGTGCAAAAACAAATACAACTGAAAGGAGTTTTGTCAAACGGGATTGCCAAGAATAAAACTTAACACAGAGCAATTCATTTTGTCCTCGAATTTCCTAAGAGGCAGAACAATTCATCTTGTCCCTGAATTTCCCAAGAGGCAAAGCAATTCATCTTGCTCCTGTATTTTCCAATAGGGAAAGCAATTCATCTTGCCCTCATGATCTACGAAGTGTGGATTTCATCTTAGTCCAGTGGCATATCTGACCAAAATAAAATTCTCCATCCAGGTTCGGTGGCATATCCGACCAAGTAACGATCTCATTCAAATCCCAAATCCGGTAGCAAATCTGATCAAATAATGGTCTCCGTCCAAATCCCAAATCCGGCGGCATATTTGATAAAACAACAGTCTCCATCCAAATCTCAAATTCGGCGGCTTATCTGATCAAATAACGGATTATAATATCTCTATGCTGAGTATAATAATGCACAAAATTCATACTTCGTAAATAATAAAAATCCAATATAATACCTTATCAAAATATCTTCATGCTCGGAATAATAATGCATAAAATTCATACTTCGCAGATAATAAAAATCTGACATAATAACTAATAATATCTCCATGCTTGGATTAATAATGCAAAAAAAATTCATGCACCGCAAATAATAAAAATTCAACATAACAACTTATAATAATATTTCGATGCTTGGATTAATAATTCAAAAAAATTCATAGTCTCGATGATGAAGCCACACTGTCTTTTTGTAGGGGGTAACTAATCATGCTTCAATTTATTTAGCCATATTCTGGCTCATCCACTCCTCTTGGCCCCAGATTTTAGTGTGATGTAATCATGGCAAAATTTTCAAGATCTTGACAAATTTAGGAGTTGCAAGGTAATTAGTTGCACTGCTTGTTTACAATTGCTCATTCATGAATTGATTTTATTGATATCGGAGCTACTTTTTCCAAAGCTATTGCTACCATAGCAGTAATTGGTAGCTCGGCCATGAGAGTAATTAGTTTCACACTTGTTTTGAGAAGAACATCTTCTTTTGAGATTTGAGAAACGATATTGAACAATGAAGATAAACATCTCAAGATATCCACCTACAAAATCGAGAATAGTATTTAATAGGTCGTATCATCTATAGAAGGGCACTCCAACATTAAAGTTAGTAACACTCTACGGAAAATATTCGATATTACAAATGCTTAAATCTTTTTGTTTAAATTTTTTTTCTCACTTTTTTATATATCTTCATGCTCGGAATAATAATGCATAAAATTCATACTTCGCAGATAATAAAAATCTGACATAATAACTAATAATATCTCCATGCTTGGATTAATAATGCAAAAAAAATTCATGCACCGCAAATAATAAAAATTCAACATAACAACTTATAATAATATTTCGATGCTTGGATTAATAATTCAAAAAAATTCATAGTCTCGACGATGAAGCCACACTGTCTTTTTGTAGGGGGTAACTAATCATGCTTCAATTTATTTAGCCATATTCTGGCTCATCCACTCCTCTTGGCCCCAGATTTTAGTATGATGTAATCATGGCAAAATTTTCAAGAACTTGACAAATTTAGGAGTTGCAAGGTAATTAGTTGCACTGCTTGTTTACAATTGCTCATTCATGAATTGATTTTATTGATATCGGAGCTACTTTTCCCAAAGCTATTGCTACCATAGCAGTAATTGGTAGCTCGGCCATGAGAGTAATTAGTTTCACACTTGTTTTGAGAAGAACATCTTCTTTTGAGATTTGAGAAACGATATTGAACAATGAAGATAAACATCTCAAGATATCCACCTACAAAATCGAGAATAGTATTTAATAGGTCGTATCGTCTATAGAAGGGCACTCCAACATTAAAGTTAGTAACACTCTACGGAAAATATTCGATATTACAAATGCTTAAATCTTTTTGTTTAAATTTTTTTTCTCACTTTTTTATATAAAAATTTATTAATTAACTATTAAATATAATTATTTTAATAAATTCAGGATTCTAATTGATATTTCGAATAGTTTGGGAAGGGTAAAATGAAGCTTCAAACAAAGTTTCGGTGCCACATCCGCAAGTTCCATTTGATTATAGATGACAAAATTGATCCAAAATTGAATAGCTTCTATATAAAATTGAAGGTCTGAAATTAAAAAGGAAAACAAACTCACATCACACGTACATTACATTATCATTCTCTCACACTGACTGAATCCAAAATAATCTAGTAATCATATAGTATTATTTATACAATTTGTGATAATCATAATCCTCTTCCTTTTTGATTTACTGTTCACCGTTTCTCACTGTTTTGACAAGCATCAAGCTTCATATTGTCCTGCAATTTAGTTACCAAAGAGCAAAAATTGTACATGTCAGTGTACGATATGAATTTGAACTCAATCAAGATTGGTTCCAGACAATTCAAACACATAAAAGCATTATTGATTTTTCAAATCACGGTCAATAGTCTTTTAGATTACCCACATTATGTGATTGAATTGCATAATGTGGGTATTAATACAGATTGACATGATAACTGTTGATTTTATTCTTTAAAGGTTCATCAAAGTGCATTAGATTTTAATAGTTGTCCCAGTAACATATTCTATACAAAAACCTGTGAGAATAGACATTTCCATATTAATGAAATTGGATTGTTTTCAATTGATATTTTTTGATTGGAAAAGAATAAGTTCGTTTGAAATCTCACACTAGAAAACATGCCATGTCCAATAATCTATGCAGCGTCCTATGATCTATGCAGCGTCCTGTTAACAAGGACAAACCACGGAGGATCAAAACAAATGTTAGAGAAACAATAAGAGCAATTCTATAGAAGAATGAAGTTAGAAATATTGAGCAAGACCTTTTCAATTTAGTACCTAGTTTGAAGTTCGTCTTTTAGGAGTTTGTTCTTGACCAAATGAAGTTCATGGAGGATATTACTTATGCTCATTCGACCTTGTGGTGACTCTGTAGAGCATGCCACTCCAATATTGACCATGGAAATCAAACATTCCACAATTTTGCTGCCATTGTTCACTTGAATTGTTGTTGCTCTAGCCTCTTCTTCCTCATTGTCTAGGAGTACCGGGTCTGCAATCTCCATCACTCGGTCAGGCAAGGCCATTCTTGCGAAGTTATGAAGATTATGCCCTTCCTCAAACATGTTCTCTGTGGGTCTCTTCCCTGTTATCATCTCCAATAACAAGGTCCCAAAACTGTAGACATCACCATAAGTTGACATCTCACTTCCGAGCCCATACTCTGCCATTAAAACAATTCACATTCAAAGCCCAAGGATCATTTTCCGCAAAAGCATATTGATACGAAAGAAAAAGGAAAAATCAACTATGATAAATATGAATTCCATAATATGAAAGCAATACATTCTACATATTCCAGTAAGATATTCTATTAGAAGGGTAAAGAGTTGTTACCGGGAGCTACATATCCGATGGTTCCCCTTACTCCAATTGAGCTACTTTGATTTGGATTGGTGAGCTCTGGGAAAAATCTAGCTAGACCGAAATCTCCAATATGGGCAACCATCTCACAGTCAAGAAGGATATTACTTGGCTTCAAATCACAGTGAATGATCGGCATTTGGCATTGGTGATGAAGATAATCGAGCGCACAAGCCACATCTATGGCGATGTTTATTCTTTGTACAAGGTTGAGTCTCTGCTGCTCATTTTGCCCATCATTTGTTTCTAGACTTGCATGCAACCACCTCTCTAGACTCCCATTTGGCATGAACTCATAAACGAGAGCTTTGAACTCATTCCCATGAAAATCAACACTGGAACAAGAAGTTATGATCCTAACCAAGTTTCGATGTCGAATATTTCTCAAGGTTTCACACTCTGCCATGAAACTCTTGATGGCTCCACGATTTTGAAGGTTAAGTACTTTGATAGCAGCAACAAACTCCCGATCTTGAATGAGAATTCCTCTATATACAGAGCCAAAACTACCAAAACCAATTAGGTTCGCAGAAGAGAAACCGTCTGTTGCTTTGAGGAGTTTCTCATAGGAGACTTTCAAGAATGATTCTTTCAACACTGGAACTGTAGATTGAGCTGTTCTTTGCTTCTTGAACAAATAAATTGTAAAGAATGACAAAAGTGCTGCTCCAACAAGTACAGAAGCTGCTGTAATTGCCAATATATGTGAAAGAGGCATCTTATGTTTGGATTTCTTGGTGATGCAACTCGGTAGTTGTAGCTCAGAAATACCCCCACAAAGCCTATGATTTCCAACAATTGATATTGCACTTGCATTTGTGAAAACTCCCCCCATTGGTAACTCACCCTCAAAATCATTAAAGGATAAATTGAGAATCATTAGGGAAAATTTCTCTAAGAACGTCGGAATTTTTCCAGACAAGTTGTTATGAGAAAGTTCAAAGTTTTTAATACCTCTCAAAGATTCCAATGATAGAGGAATAGATCCTTGAAAAGAATTTTCCTGCATATAAAGGTTTTCAAGACTAGTGCAACTACCAAGACTGCTAGGAATTTCACCAGACAACCTATTCTCAGAGATATCCAATTCCATTAAATTTTTAAGGTTTCCAACCTCTGTTGGCAAGGAACCAGACAAACGATTCCGAGCTAGATTTAATGAAATTGACAAAGATGAGACCTTCAAGAGTTCTTTGGGAATGTTTCCACTCAAGTTGTTTTGGTAAAGGTTCAGCCACAACAGCTTTTTACAGTTAGCAAGCCTTGAGGGTATGGTCCCCTCTAGTCTGTTGCCCCCTAAGAAAAGGATAAAGCAACAATGACAGGTTTCCGATGAAATCTGGAATTTTCCCAGAGAGGTGGTTCATTTCTAAAGTCAAAAATTGCATCTTTGGAAGATTTCCTATGTTAGTTGGAATTGTACCAGTGAATTGGTTACCTTCCATACCTAACGTCTCCAAGTTGACAAGGTTACCTATTGTTGAAGGAATAGTTCCATATATTTGATTTCTACCAAGTATAAAGGCAAACAGATTCTTCGACAGGTTGCCAACAGATTCTGGTAACACCCCTCTAAATTGGTTTACCTCCATACCCAATGCTTCCAAATTGCTACAGTTGGCCAAAGAACCAATAAAGGCTAGGTCATCTGGTTCCCCACTTCCGAAATTGTTATGAAATAGACCTATCTTCTTGAGATTCTGTAGTCTTCCAAAATTAACTGTTATTTTCCCATTGAAGTTGTTATGTTCTACTTGAAATTGTTCCATTTTTGAAAAATTTGATATTGACAATGGAAGGGTTCCGGTAAATTGGTTAGCATTTAACTGGAGGAGTTGAAGATCAGGGAACATGAAACCAAAGCTTGGCGGAAGACTACCATGAAGTTGGTTAAAACCAACAGAAAAAACATTTAGGAATGAAAGATTATAAATAGATGGAGGGATCATACCGGAGAGTTGATTGCCACCCAATCCAAGTTGTGTTAGTTTTTTCAATTGACCCAAGGTATCTGGAATACTTCCTCCAAAAGAATTTCTAGCAGCAGAAAAGCTTTTCAGAGAAGTAAGATTCCCAATGAATGGAGAAATACCTCCCGTCAAATTGTTCTTGTAAATGGCAAGAATTGTGAGCTTTGGCAAGGAAGTAAGCTCTTTGGGGAATTTCCCGGCTAGTTTATTTTTACCAACATCAAGATATGTGAGGTTGGAGCAGCGGGATAAGCTAGCTGGAATTTCTCCTTCAAAGTTGTTGTTGCTCAGGTTCAAAATTTGCAACCTGAACAGGTTACCGAGTTCAACAGGGATTTCACCCTGAAAAGTGTTGTCAGAGAGCCACAACCCCCGAAGGAAGGTGAGGTTCCCTACATAAGGAGACAAGGAACCAACTAGACCTTGGGACGTCAAGTCTATAATGGTGACTCTCCTGTGCCGGTGACCGCATATGAGACCTTGCCACTCGCAGAAATGGAGAGAATTGTTCCATGAGCTCACAACCCCATGAGGGTCTTGCAAAATCTTTGACTTGAAGGCGAGCAACGCAAAACGATCAGTCTCGTTCCCAACAAAGGTACTACTAGCTGTAGTGGATGCCGGGAGTGTTCCAACATGTACAAGTGTCATGGCTACGACACATATGCCACTCCAGACGTAAAATAACTGGAGTAGCTGAAAACCCATTACTGAAAGTGGAGATGCCATTTTCAGATCTCTTTCTTTTTATTTTTTTATTTTTAGTATGCAGTTGCAAAGGTAGGCTTGGTTGCTGTGATTATTTATAACCTGCAATTTCCTTTCCTCCACGGGTAAGCATGAGAAAAGTTAGGGATAATGTAAATTTTTTCATGAAAAGATTTATGATCTTTGAATTACCTTGATTAGTGTGTGGTGTTTTATTCTAAATGTAATTCAAAGATTACAAAACTTTCATGATTATTTTCATGAAATTTTTTTTATAATACCTAACATTGCTGGGTAGGCATTGTCTGTGTAGGGTGGAATATGTGGGACTGCAAATGGGAAATTCCTAATCAAGTGGGGTCTGCATGCTTGTATTGTAGTGAATTTGGTTTTTGTAATTTTAATTATATCATACTTGAAATTCTCATATTTGTGTCAATTTAATTCAATTGGTGATGTCTCCATTTAAAAATTGAACTGAAATCAACAGACAAAATAGCCAATTCACTCTCCTCAAATTGCATTGAGGGATTGACCTAAATGACTCATTTTCTTTTGAATGAACCATTTTGCTTTTAATTTTTGTTCAATTTCTTGGTACAACTTATTAATTAGATTAAATTGATACAATGTGAAAAATTAGAGGACAAAATTGATATAATTAAAAATATAAAAATTAAATTGAGATGAGATAAATTACATGAAAAAAAGGAAAGAAAGAAGGAAAAGTCACATTACACTCATGAGGGGCACAGAATGATTCTTATTCCTTGTGGAATGCACCGCGATTTTAAATTGTGTTTGGGTCATGTATTCAGGTAGAGATTTGAAAAAAAAAATAAAAATAAATTATATTTCACTCAAATTGTTCACACTTTTTCTTTTTCCCTTTTCAAATTCCTATACAATTCTACGACATAACAAAATTGAAACAATTCATATACAATTCTATGACGTAAATTCCTATACAACTCTTTCCTTTTTCTTTTTTTTTTTTGACAAAATGAAAAAATTTTAAGGATCAAAGTGACACAATATATAGGTATTGAAAAATCTAGAAATCCCCTAGATGTTGATTTGTGATTATGTATCAATTTTAAGCAGAATATAACAATCCCAATCAAACAATCAAACAATCAAGACAAAGAGACACAACGATTTAACGTGGAAAAAACCACAATTGGACACCTCCAACTGTGATCAAAAAACCACGGGCAACAGCCACAAGAACAATCCACTAAGAAGAATTAAAGGAATTACACAGGTATACTCTCAATTACCTAGCGAATCCACAACGCCTAATTGAACCAACCTTTATGTGCCTCTTCCAACCCCATGTTCACCACGGAATTGTCTTTCTGATGAGCCACTCCGGATTCCACCAAAGCTTCAGGCTCGAATTCTTCAGAATCCACAACTGAAGAATAACTCTCTCTTTTGTGTATAACAAACAAACCTTTGATGTACTCTCTTTAAATCATGAGTTGAAAACTCAATAAAAACATCAAAGTAAACTAGCAAAATTTCTCCAGATATAAACCTTAAAATCCAAAAATAAGATCTGGAGAAGTTCCATCAATACCTTAGTTTTTGGGAGAAAACCAAGTATTTATAGAGAACCAAAAGTAATCCTAGATTCAGAAGAAAACCAACTCTTTAATCAAATCTGGAAATCTGGGATCGCGCGGTCCGCTCGAGCTCAACACAGCCCGCTCGAGCGGACTGACCAAAAACTGAGTGCGAACAAACTGAGATGCGCTCGAGCGTAAAATCACACCCACCAGTATTTTTTGGGCGACTGCAGAGATGCTGAGAGCTTCCAATCCCCGCTCGAGCGTCCCTTTCCCCGCTCGAGCGGGAAGGCCAAAACTGGAAAAACTGGAAAAATATAACATGATCGGACAGGCAACTTTTAATGCATTTTTGCATTTTGCTTCGGGGGCGCTGCCCCTCGACCCCGCCGTGGCGCTGCCCCGGAACCGCCAAGGGGCGCTGCCCCCTCGACCCCCGCGAGCTGACTGGGCAGCTCGATCCCCGTCATAATCAGCGAAGTGGCAATCTTGAAAGCATTAGCATCACAAACTTCTCTGAATGGCACAATTCGGGTTGGATTCGCATCTAAACACTCATAGCCTCACTGAAATAAAAATGCGAAAAGAAATACAACTGAAAGGAGTTTTGTCAAACGGGATTGTCAAGAAATAAAACCTAACAGGTATATATATTTTAAGAACCATGTGTGTATTTTATTGAATTTGGGGTGGCTGCCATTGTTGTGCAGCCAAATGGGCCCATTTTGAGGTCTATTTTGATGATCCGAACCATTCACATTTTAAAGTACATCGAGTAGAACATACCCGTAAAAAATCAAATTAATCAGATATCGTTAACTCTTTTTTCCACTCACATTTGTAATTTTAAATCACAATTGTCATTTATTTTTAAATACAAATGTGAGTGGATGAAAGGGTTAACGATATCCGATTAACTTGATTTTTTTATAGGTATGTTTTACTTGATGCACTCTAAAATGTAAACGGTTCAGATTATTAAAATGAGTCCCAAAATGGACCCATTTGGCTGCACAGTTGGCATAGCAGCCATCTCAAATCTTATTTTATTACCATTATGTTAATGATTTAGGCAATTTGTTTGGATTTGGACCAAATTGACTCAAATTAAAAATTTTAATGACGTGACAAAATTGAAACTTAAAAAATTAAAGTGATAAAGAATACATACTTTAAAGACTATAAATTTATTTTATCCTTTAAGCTTAAACAAGAACTTGAACAACATGGAAACTCAACATGGACACTCAATATTTAGAACCCTCATTTTGGAAACTAAATATTTATTAGTTTTTTGTATTTTAATTATGGACATTTTTATTGCGTAATTTACGATGTAAGTCCTTATATTCTGACTATTGTGTTATTTTAATACCTCTAATTTTAATTGGTTCAATTTTGATTATGAATTTATGATTTTATCTCAATTTTGTTTAATTGATTGCAATTTTTAATGATTTTTTTTTTTTTGGTGAAAAATGCATGCATAATTAACCTTAAGGGATTGGTCCAGTGGACACAACTTGGGGCCTAGGGGTGAGTTTCCTCCAAGTCGCAGGTTCAATACTCACTAGTTGCAATAAGCTCGTTGGGGCCAGTCCATCATGGTGTTTGTTCTAGCTTTAAATGGAGCCTCACAAATGGACAGTGAGATTGGTCTTTTGGGATTAGTGAGATTGGTCTTTTGGGATTAGTCGAGATGCACATATACTAGCCGGACACCTAGTTATTAAAAAAATAAGAAAAAAGCAAGGCATGTGTTATGCTTTTAGGCAAAATTTTAAGCTTGTTCAGCTTAGTAAATTAACCTCAACCAACTAAGTGACTATTTTTTTTTTTTTTCAAAAATCCCAATCAACTTTATCAATTGGACTAAATTAACACAAAATACAAAATTAAGAATCAAAATCAAATTAAGGGGCTAAGTGCACTTATTTGGGTCATATCACCTATCTCTTTTTCTGCATATCTTTTCATAAAAAGTTAAAAAATATACTTATTTAGATCATTCTAAATACCCCCTAATTAAAATTATAAGGATCAAAATAATAGAAGAAGCAAAATATAAAACTACTAATGTAATTTACATGTTTTTTATTTGATTGGAATTCATTTCAATTATGTTTATATGATGAGATACATACAAACCAACAATGATTGGGTGTGTTTTCTCACTTACAGTAAGGCATCCTCTGGGAAGTTGTGATTTAAGACTAGAAGTCAAAAAGTCACGGTAGAGGGGTAAAATATTGGTCCAAGCTAGGAGTAATTAAGCAAAGTAACTCAAGAAGAAAAAAAAAAAAAAAGGGGAAGACACAGATAATTTTTCTAAAGAGCCCATTAGAGATAGTTGGTGGTACACTGTGCGTAGCTAAGGGCGTAAGGAGCAATGAATAGTAAAGATCTCCTTCTAGAAGGAGATTCGCAGAATGTAAGAGGAGGTTGATCTTCATCCAATAGTGGAAACATCAAGACAGAAAATACATGAGTATAGGTCAGGCCTACTAGACGGTAAGTTCGTCTGATCAACTTGATCTGACAAACATAACATTTGGTAAGCTGGCCACTAGCATCTGACATAATCTAAATCGTCTATAAGAGAATGATCCAACAATCAAAAGAAAAAACAACTTGACTACTTGCCCGACCAGAGCGAGGTACGGGTAGAACCCTCGGATCAAACATTGATCTAACGGATGAGATTCAAGTCAGAAAAACTATAAAAGGTGAAACAAGTGAAGCAAAGAGGACAGACCAAAGGTAATCCAAGAAGCCTCTTTTAAAATACAATATTTAGTATTCTGATTTGACCATCAGAGGGTCCTCCCGACCAACCTTGGTCGGGGATGATCACTAACATTTTGGTTTCTCTTGACAAAGGAAAGAAAGGGACACGTCATCTCACTTTCTTTGTGGAGAAGAATTCTACCTTCCACAGTTGGTGCCGTCTGTGGGAATGACGAGAAGATGAGTGCCCATCTCTCTCTAAAAGATATACCAAGTGATCACCAGAATATCTTGGTTGGCAATACGCCCAGTCAGAATTTTGGCCATAACTCAGAAATGGCACTAGTGGATTTAGGAAAAGTAACTCCCCCACCAGACGATGATAAATAGCAAACCCAGTTTGTAGATTGCCTTGTAGCTCAAATTGAGGCTCTCAAGGAAGAGCTAGGAATAACTCGGAGGAGACTAGAAAGAAAAAAAAAAAAACCCAAAGTACGAAGCACCTGACAAAAGAGTGTTGTCTTCTAGGAGGCTGCCAGCCAAACTGCCTACATCTATCTCGGTCAAACACAAAAGAAGCGTGACGTCACCAAACAGGATAACACGCCAGAGCGCCAGAAGAGCAACCTAAGAAGCTGGCTTAACCAATTTACAAGAAAAAACCCCAAGCCGGTTCAGAGAAAGCTTTTTATAGAAGAAATGGCCTCCTTGTTTTTCCGAGCA